AACCACAGGAATGCCTAGCACACTACAAATACTTATGCCAAACCCAGACTGAACACAGTAAATTTTCAACAATGAAAACAAGTATAAAATAATTTGGGCTAGCATAAATCTTACGGAACAAACGCACTTACAAAAGACGTGCCATGTGCATGTCTGATCCACTACCACAGACTTACTCGGTTAATAAATAACTTGTTCTGAGAGACGGAGGTGGGGAAATCAGAGGACCAAATCCAACTCATGTTAAGTCCAAGTAAATATGAAATGCCTGCCAAGTCTGCCAGTGGAGTTTCCAAATATGTTATATATTTTCAGCCTCTGGATTAAAAAAAAAAACTGAAAGAAAGAGTGATTTTTATGCTGCTAATAGGGCAGGCAAAGAGCTTTGCCTTTTTTACTTTGAAGGAGGAAGTATAGTATAAGCCCATATAGACCAAGCAGGAACCGCAGGCCAAGAGACTGTTCCCAGGCAATGCCAGGCCATGTGCAAAGGGCTCCCAGGAGTAGGGCAGACCTCTCTCGATTATTCCACCCAAAATGGGGTAAAAGGTATCGGCACCAGTGGTCCACAATGCAGGGAACCCAGCAATGTTTTCTGCTCCAAATAACTCAACTGGAAGGCTGGCTCCTCCACCACAGTTTAACATATAAAGACCCAGGTCAAATTATGATGAGCTTCATTGCTTAACTGCCCTTGTCGACATGTCAGTCTACCACACCTGAGTCCATATAATAGATTTTCCCAAATGCCGGATGAGTCTGAATGAATGAATAGACTCAAAAATATAGGCGTTAACCTCTTTCAAAAGTATAATCCGTACCTTACCTACCCTCAACAGCATTGATTGGTTTTGGAGACTCCAATAGACAAAGCATCCTAGTAGATTTCATATGTAAGGGATTCTTGGGGATAAGATAATTTTAGAAAGGACATTTTCACTGCTCTTTGGGTTCATGTTCTAAGATAAACATCTTAATGCAAGACACTAACATGAGCTGTGTGAAGACTCACATATACATACAATCAAAGGGAACCTCAGATTTACTCCAGACTTACTTCTTATTCTCTGTAAGGCAAATTTCTTTATAATAAAATCTATTTACCACCAATTTTATGCTGTTAATGGGGCAGACAGGCAATATCTTATCCCTCTTTTCACTGAAACTCCAGAGGAGGAATATATTAAATAACTATTATTGGCCAGGGTAGAAAAAGAGGCAAAGCAAATTTTCCATCATACATTGAGGCAGTGTTTCTCAAACCATCTCTAGTGAAAGGTTTGTTTTGCTTTTGTTTTTCCAATCCAACGTGGGCCAATACTTTCATAAAATATAATAGTGAGCAGCTCGGGCGTTGGGAGGAGTGGCAGCGGCCAGGCAGCCCAGCTTCGCGAAGGCTGTCGGCGCGCCGCGGCCCGCAGGCACCCGGCATGCGCCCGCCCCGCCGCCACGATGCCCAAGAGGAAGGTCAGCTCCGCCAAGGGGGCAGCGAAGGAGGAGCCCAAGAGGAGATCGGCAAGGTTGTCAGCTAAACCGGCTCCTGCAAAAGTGGAAAGGAAGCCAAAAAAGGCAGCAGGAAAGGATAAACCTTCCGACAAAAAAGTGCAAACGAAAGGGAAAAGGGGGGCTTCCCTGATGGCTCAGTGGTTGAGAGTCCGCCTGCCGATGCAGGGGACACCGGTTCGTGCCCTGGTCCGGGAAGATCCCACATGCCGCGGAGTGACTGGGCCCGTGAGCCATGGCCGCTGAGCCTCTGCGTCCGGAGCCTGCGCTCCGCAACGGGAGAGGCCACAACAGTGAGAGGCCCGCGTACCGCAAAAAAAAAAAAAAAAAAAGAAAGAGGGAAAAGGGGAGCAAAGGGAAAACAGGCTGAAGTGGCTAACGAAGAGACTAAAGAAGACTTACCTGCAGAAAATGGAGATACTAAAAATGAGGAGAGCCCAGCTTCTGATGAAGCAGGAGAGAAAGAAGCCAAGTCTGATTAATATCACACACCTGGTCCTATCAGTGGTCCCTGTTTCCCTTCTTGTACAATCCAGAGGAATACTTTTATCAACTATTTTGTAAATGCAAGTTTTTTAGTAGCTCTAGAAACATTTTTAAAAAGGAAGGAATCCCACCTCATCCCATTTTCTAAGTGTAAATGCTTCTTTTTAAGAGGTGAAATCATTTGCTGGTTGTTTATTTTTTTTTGGTGCAACCAGAAAATAGTGGGATATTGAATATGGGAGGCTTTGATTGTCTTGGGTGTCAGCTTAACATTCCACAGATGGAGAGTAGCTTTTCTATCCTATAATACAAAGCATACTAAATGGCAGTTTGGAGTCAGTTGTGCATTTAATGTCTTAAACACTTTAAATTACTTCTCTTCCCACGTTGTTTTTGGTAGAATTGTTTCCTAAAGCAAACCACTCACCCCTTGATGTTGGCTCTCCTGGGCAGAATTTTGTGCACTCTGTAACATCTTTGGTCGTGGTAATCCAGTTCTTCTAGTAACTGTTAATGTGCTGTGAACGGCTGACAATTTGAGTATGTAGTGTATATGATATTAAATTGTGAATTAGTGGGACTTACGATGTAACAGCATATCAATATTTGAAGATATTGGTACTTGATATCCTGTGAAGGAAAATTTGCCCCCAAATTTTAAGCTGGAAAGTCACTGGAATAACTGTTCAGAAAAGAATCACAACTACATGATTTTTTAGGTTTCTGGTACGTATGTTGAGAATTGTGTACAAATTGAAATGTCTGTGTCCTGATCCTCAAAACAACCAATAAAATCTCAATTATGAAAGAATTTCTTGAAGCACATGAAAAAAATATATATATATAATAGGACTTCGCTGGTGATGCAGTGGTTAAGAATACACCTGCCAATGCAGGGTACACGGGTTTGGTCCCTGGTCTGGGAAGATCCTACATGCCTAGGAGCAACTAAGCCTGTGTGCCACAACTACTGAGCCTGAGCTCTGGAGCCCACAAGCCACAACTACTGTGCCCGCAAGCCACAACTACTGAGCCTGCGAGCCACAACTACTGAAGCCCACATGCCTAGAGCCCGTGCTCCGCAACAAGAGAAGCCACCACAGTGAGAAGCCCGCGCACCACAACGAAGAGTAGCCCCCGCCCACGCACAGCAACGAAGACCCAACACAGCCAAAAATAAATAAATAAATTTATAAAATAATAATAATAGATTACTATAAAAAATAAATTTAAAAGATTAAGGCAAAATATAAATTTTTATTATTATATGTAACAGGTATAGAATTACTTAGTAGAATCATGATAAAGGTTTCTAGTTGCTTACTCTCTGATTCTGTACTTTTCTCATTGTAGACCGGCACCGTCTTTTCTGGACCATTGGTGACCTGCAGAGCACATTTTGGGTTGCACTGCATTGAGGGATGTGTCATGGGGTGGAGGAGCAACCCAAAGAAACAATCAAAAGATTTCAATCTAGGGCTTCCCTGGTGGCGCAGTGGTTGAGAGTCCGCCTGACGATGCAGGGGACGCAGGTTCGTGCCCCGGTCCGGGAAGATCCCTCATGCCGCGGAGCGGCTGGGCCCGTGAGCCATGGCCGCTGAGCCTGCGCATCCGGAGCCTGTGCT